CTCTCTGCCTCTTAGCACGGCACCTCGGGGCCTGGGCCACATGGGGTCTGAGGACACTTGGGGTCTGAGGCCACATGGGGTCTGAGGCCACGTGGGGTCTGAGGCCACGCGGGGTCTGAGGACATGCGGGGTCTGAGGCCACGTGGGGTCTGAGGCCACGCCGGGTCTGAGGCCACGCCAGGTCTGAGGCCACGCGGGGTCTGAGGACACGCGGGATCTGAGGACACGCGGGATCTGAGGCCACGTGGGGTCTGAGGACACGTGGGGTCTGAGGACACGTGGGGTCTGAGGACAGGGAGCCATTGGCAGGAGGCAGAGGAGCCACAGGAGGTGGTGTAGGCATCGGTGGGGTGGTATCTCCCAGACAATCTGGAGTCCTGAGCTGGTGTTGACCGTCTGGGGTTTCTTTTCCGAGTTAGGTGAGTGGAGTGGAATGCAGGGAGAGGTAGTGCGTGCAGAGAGCACAGGTGTACTTTTGGAAGTGGGTATGCAACCTGGCAACTAGGTTGCAGGCTAAGCTTCAGCACCTTCTGCAGGGATCTCAGCTGAGCCCTTTGCAGGTTACCCGGCAGTGCGTGCTAGCCCAGGTACAGGCTCCCAACAGCGTCCTGGTTCCAGCAAGGTATTCTTCCTGGGTGGGGAGGCAACCAGCAAAGCTTCAGGAGGCTGGAGGAGGGGTTCTGGGGGCTCTGCCAGCTGGACAGCAGGAGAAAGTTTGGGTGTTGCAGAAAACCCCGGAAAACATCAAGCTGACCCCGTGTCTCTCATAGCCTCTGATACACATTAGCAAACGGAGGCCCAGAGGGAGAGCCGTTCTTGTCCAGGCCCTGCAGTAAGTCAGCTCAAGCTGCCTGCCTGTCTGCCCTTGACTGGGGCTCCTGGTCTGGCGGGCTCTTCGCTCTTTGTGCATTTGCTCAGGCCCACCCGCCCCCGCCGGGGCACTGCTGCCTCCTGCCCAGCAGCTCCTCTGCCTCCGCTCCCCCCCCCACCAGTGAATCTCCACACTCTCTGCCTCCCGCCCTAATTCTCGTCTTTGTTGCAGCCACCCACCCACTTTTTGTTTAACATTTCATTTCTTTTCTCCTAGAAGACAGTGTTTGAACAATTAGGATAATTGAAGTTTTTCTCTTTCACAATTCTGACCAAAACATATCTGCCTTTCGTGGAACGGGGGCAGGACACCAGTGTCCCAGTGGGGATAAAGTTTAAGTTCCCTCTGGACCGTCGCAGGCTGAGACGATCAAGGTGAAGGTATCTTTTACTTCCTCTGCTCTGCCTGCACCTTGTGGTGAGTGCATTTCTGCTGAGACCTGTAGGTACCTGCCTTGCTGCTGCCAGCCTGTTCTTCACACACACCCGTGCTGTTTGCAAGTGAGGCCACACCCTGCTGGGGCTCCCCACTTCCCAAGGGAGAAAGTCCAGCTCCTTCTTAGTTCACAGGTCTTCTGCCATCTCACCTGCCCTGCTGTGACTGCGTTAGCTCTTGCGGTTCCCCCGTCATCCCTAGCTCTCCAGCCATGGGGAGTTACTTGTAGATCTGTGTGCCAGCTGAACTGTCTCATGGAGTCCGGGGGTGGGCATGGCCTCTGCAAGTCAGACTGTGCTTTGAATCCTGGCTCAGCCACCTTCCCCGAGAAGCCTGGGAAGTTATAGAACCACTCAGAGCCTCAGGGTCCCCATCTGAAAACTGCATGAGGACTGTGGTAGGCAGAGTCTTGGCCCCGTAATATGTCTCTGTTCTAATCTCAGACCTGTGAATATGTCACCTTATAAGGCAGAAGAGACTTGGCAGATGTGAGTAAATGAGGATCTGGAGATGGAGATATTCAGTTCAGTTCAGTCGCTCAGTGGTGTCCGACTCTTTGCGACCCCATGATCACAGCACACGAGGCCCCCCTGTCCATCACCATCTCCCGGAGTTCACTCAAACTCATGTCCATCGANTTCTTCACTTTCTGCCATAAGGGTGGTGACATCTGCATATCTGAGGTTATTGATATTTCTTCCGGCAATCTTGATTCCAGCTTGTACTTCTTCCAACCCAGCATTTCTCATGATGTACTCTGCATATAAGTTAAATAAGCAGGGCGACAATATACAGCCTTGACGTACTCCTTTACCTATTTGGAATCAGTCTGTTGTTCCATGTCCAGTTCTAACTGTTGCTTCCTGACCTGCATACAGGTTTCTCAAGATGCAGGTCAGGTGGTCTGGTAATTCCCATCTCTTTCAGAATTTTCCACAGTTTATTGTGATCCACACAGTCAAGGGCTTTGGCATAGTCAATAAAGCAGAAATAGTTTTTCTGGAACTTGATGGAGAGATTATCTTGAATTATTTGGGTGGGTTGAGTATCATCACAAGCGTCCTTATAAGGGAGACTAGAAAGTTCAAATAGAGAAGGAGAGGTGACAAGGAAAGTGGAAGCCAGAGAGAGATGCAAAGATGCCGCGCTGCTAGCTTTGGAGGTGGAGGAAGGGGCCGTGAACAAAGGAGAGCAGGCAGCCTTTAGGAGCAGAGAGGGCGAGGGACGGATTCTCTCCTTGGAGCCTCCAGAAGGGAAGTAGCTCTGCCAGTGCCTTGCTTTTAGCCCAGGGAGACTTATTTTGGATTTCTGACCTCCAGAACAGTGAGAGAATTCTTGTGTTATTTTGAGCTACTAAATTTGTGGTTATTTGTTACACCAGCAATAGGAAACCAATAGAAGTACCTACTTCCTAGGTTATTAAGGTTCGGGGAGTTAAGACAGATGCTTAGAAGAATGTCTGGCCCATCAGTGCCCAGGAGACATCAGTAGTTACTGATGCTGCTGTTGTCATTGTTCCAGTCTCTGTCAGAATACTGCTGATCCACCTGGCGCAGCCCCGTCTGCTCTCCCCTTGTCACCCAGCCTTAGCTCTTGATTATTTCATTCGCTCTTCCTGACTCTGCTCAGATAACACCTCCTCCAGGAAGCCACCACTGACGCTTCTCTCAGCAGGCTGGAGCCCGACCACAGCCTCCTGCGCTACGGACCCCATCACCTTGTGTTATGGTTTTAAGTTCTTGCTACGGGGGAAACATTTCACAAAATGCATGAAAAATCTCTGTCCACCTTGAGTTTACATTCTGTTCTAGAAAGGAGAGAGAGAGAAGCAAATCAGTAAATTATACAGTCAGAAGATAAGTAACATGGAAGAAAAGAAGGCAGAGAGTGTGGTGGTGATGGGGGTCGCAGTTTTACACAGTGTAACCAGGAAAAGTCTCACTGAGAAGGCTGCATTGCAGCCAAGACTTGAAGAAGATGAAGGACTGGACCCTGTTGCTACCTGGGGTAAGAGCTTTCAACATGGAGAGAATAGCAAGTGCAAAGGCCCTGGGGCTTGGTATACATTGTGGGTGGAATTATGTCCCCTCAGAAGATAAGCTAACATCCTTGTCCCCAGGATCTGTGAATGTGACCTTGTTTGGAAGTGTGGTTGTTGCAGATATAATTAGTTAAGATGGCACCACACGAGGCTGTGCTCTTAATCCTATGTGACTGGTGTCCTTGTAAGAAGAGGAAAGAAGACCCAGAGAGACAGAGACATACGGAGGAGAGGGGGCGCCATGTGACGACAGAGGCGGAAATTGAAATGATATGTCTATAAGCCAAGGCATGCCAAGAATTGCCAGCTGTCACCAGCAGCAAAGAGAATGGCATAGAACAGATTCTCCCCAGAGCCTTGGAAGAACATGGCCCTGATAATGGTTTGATTTTGGACTTCTATCTTCTAGTCCTGTGAAGGAATATATTTATCTTGTCTTAACCCCCTCAACTGTGGTAATTTATTAGAGCAACCGTGGGAAGCACGCAGGAGCAGTGAGGAGGCCAGCATGGCTGAATAGTAAAGCAGGTGTCACGAGAGTGGACGTAGCTATGAGCAGGTCACATGAGGTGGGGGGCACTATAGGGGCCTTGACTCCGAGTGAAATGGGGTGCCACGAGAAGATTTGCGGCTCGAGAGTGCTACGGTCTGACACGATCCAGCTTGAGCATCCCTGTTTCTCCAGCAGCTTGCGCAGACCATGGCATGTAGCCAGCACCTAACAAACATTTATTCCTTCCTTCCTGTCATAGCCACAGGATCTGGTTTCAGTGGTTATAAAATATATGTGCTGTGAGTGGGGTGAAGGTGGAGTGACTAGGTTCTTGGAATATGGAGGATACTTGGATAATGATAATATTTAGGTTGATAGAAGAATACATTAAAAAACAAACTTGGGATGCTTGCAGGCATTTTTTTCAATGGCAAGACATAGTTTTTGTCTTAAAACCTTATAGTCTGTTGTTTTGTATTTTGATTAAAAGTTGTGCATTTTTAACGTAAGTCCATAAGGTATTGATCTTCAGATTCTTGTCGTGGCTGACGTGTCCTATAGATAAGCCTCCAGTCCTTCTCTGTGAGGCTTTATGCCCCAGATCTCTTGTAAGCACGTTATTATGGGGAAGCATTGATTTTTGCCTAGTACAGTCTGCCTTCTCTTGGAGGAAATGAAACAATCATGACAAATGAAAAGCCATTTTTCAAAGTGACTTTGTTTCCTGTAGTTTATGATTCAAAAACTGGGCTAATTATTTGGCTCCGCATGTAAAGGAGTGCATTTCTAAGAAAGGAGCCCTTAGTAGGCCCACAGAGTCTGATGAGAACAGTGGTCTCTTTCGTTCTCTAAAATGCTCAGCAGTTCACAGTGTATTCTCTGCTTTGCATTTCAGACCCCTCGAAGCTTGTGGGGCAGCGGGTTCACATCTGTCCCACAGACGGGAGGACTGAGGCTCAGAGAAGCAGAGTCTTTTTCCTGTGGTCACACAGTCGGATGCAAGTGGTGTCCACGTTTGAGTGGACGTTGAAAGGACTGAAATTAAATAAGATGAGTGCTCTCAAGGCAGAAGGGGCTGGAGAAACACATGATGCTGATGCCATGGTAACAGAATAAGAGCTCGGAACTGGAGGCAGGATGAGGGTGGGGCCCCTCTGCGTCCTGGTTCCCTCTGAAACCAGCTGGGTAACCTCCGCCAAGCCACTGAGCCTCTCTGAGCCTCCAGGTTTCCTCTCTCAAGTGGGGAAAACTGTCCCCATGCTGCCCTCTCTCCAGACTGCGTTCCAGGAGATAATAGGGAAAGTGCTTATAAATCGTGAAGTGCTCTTCGTAAGCCAGAGGTAACCGCTGCGCAGATAAGAGCTTTGATTGAAGTGTCCGTAATATCCGAGTGTTAATAGCAGTAGCGGCTTTTTTTCCTTTTACTGCCATTACTTTGTGCCCACCACGGTGCTAAGTGCTTCACACGAATTGTGATATTTAATTCTAATTATAGTCCTATAAAGTGGGCAGTAATATTAGCACACCCATTTTGCAGGTCAGGAAACTGAGGCTCAGAGGCATAAGGTAATTTGGAGCTAATGCTGAGAGTCACACTGCTAGTGAAGTAGAATTTAAGCTGGGCTCTGGAGGACTTCAAAAGCTTGTGAACCTCAGCTCCCTCTTTTTGAGGGAAAATGGGTCCTGAGAAGAAGTGGTGCAAACCATCAATTACAGATGATGAAAACATCTGTAAGAAGGAAGCCTTCGGCCCAAGGTCACCCAGAGCCAGTGGCTCAGGCAGGATTTGAACTCAATTCTTGCCCCTTCTGCTATTAACTTAACATCTGCACTTTTGGCCCTGCTTGCCCAGGAGAATATCTCTTTTCTCATATCATTTAAAAATTAAGGGCAGAGTGGCAAAGAGAAATCGACAACCAAGTATATAATGTGTGATTTTTTTTTTTTTATTAACCACATGACTTGCAGGATCCTAGTTTCCTGACCAGGGATAGAACCTGTGCCCCTGCAGTGGAAGTGCATAGTCAACCACTAGACCACCAGGGAAGTCCCATATGTGATTTAAAAATTTTTTAAATTTCATTTAATTTTATATTGGAGTATAGTTGATTGTCAATGTTGTGCTAGTTTCAGGTATATAGCAAAGTGATTCAGTTATACATATACTTATATCTATTCTTTTTCAAATTCATTTCCCATTTAGGTTATTACAGAATGTTGAGCAGAATTTGGAATTAAAGAAAATCATAAAAATGCAAATTTTATTTTAAACAATATTATTTTATGAATATTACTTTTTAAGGTGTACAGTAGGAATGCTGTTATGTGGGAGAGGTTCTTCATTTTTCTGAGATACATCGCAAAGTGTTAGAGGTAAAGTGGTTTTTTGTTTGCAGTCTACACTCAAATAATTCAGGGTGGGGGGAAAGCAGAAAAAGAGAGAAGCAAATGTGAAAGGATGTTAACAGTTGGTGAATAGATGAAAGGCATATTAATGTGTTAGTTGTATGATTCTTACAGTTTTTCTGTAATTTGAAAGTTTTTCAATAAAATATAGCCGTGGAGGGAAAATAATTCAAGGGGTGGAGGGAGCATCATCATTTGCTGAATGTCTTTTGTGGGCCTGGCACTGGCGTGAGCTATCTCACCTCTTTCTCACAGCCTGTCTATGAAATAGATATTCTTATCCCCATTTTGCAAACAACCCAACAAAGCTCAGAGAATTTGAGTGACCTTCCCAAGGTCACCCAGCAGGTGAATGGTGAGCCACAGGTCTGCATGAGGCCTCTGAAGCATTTAGTTAGACCCGAAATGAGCCCTCCACCTCCTCTGGGTTTTACATGATGGGCATTCACAGGGAAGTTACCTTTCATATCCCAACAGGAACCTAAGGCTCAGTAAAACACCCTGCACTAGTCAGCAGGGTCCTCAATCAGGAGCAAGAAAAATAGGAACTCCAAGTATCGAAAGCTTCATTCACTGACCAAAGTCCCCACAGGATGGAGAGTTCTGGAAAAATAAATGTTGACATTTGACACCACAGAGCACCAATTTAAAAAGGCACTTTAAACCAAAATTGACTTCAGAAAAATCAATATTGAAAAATCAGACTTGGATTCCGATGAAATATCAGTCTCTTGATGTTTATTGACTTGGGTAAATGTTGGCATTCTACAGCTCAGAATTAAAATAATGGAATTTTAGAGCTAGACAAGAGTTCAGGGATCATCCTGTTATCTGCTAATATCTCTTTCTAGACTCTGCTTAGCTGGACAATATTTTTATTATGTTTAATTACCCCATTTTAAACTGTATTTACTGTTATAAATCTTCCCCAAATCTTGGTTCCACAGGCACACGTTCTAATAAATATTTTATTTTCCAAAAGAAGAGCCAGGATAGGCTTAAACTGAAGACGTCACTTCACAGAGGAGGAGTCTGGCCTGGGAGTGAGAGGCATGAGGTCAGAACTGGGGCTGGAGCTGGGCTTGGAAGGCCAGGCGCTCACCCCTGCACCGCACTTCCTGCCCGGTCCCTTTGTCTTCTGAGTCCCATCAGGCAGGCCACACATACACACGTGAAGAACGGTTAGCAGTGTTTATTCACCAGAACATCGTGGGCAGGTGGGAACCGTGTTAGCTGGATTTCAGCTGGGGGAGGAAAGAGAGGGAGGGAGGAGAAGGAGGGAGAGAGAGAGGGAGAGAGGAGCTCTTTTCTTTGAATGGAAGCGTCTTTTGTCATGGTTCTAGGATAAGATGCAAAACAGGCCATTAAATTAAAGATACTATTGTTTCATTCTAACATGCTTTCATCTGCTTAATTAAATACTGCACACAAACCCCAACTATTGTGATCAAACAATCCCCAGAAAGTCAAGATTACAAAGAGGGCACAAGAGCAGTAATTATGTTGAATCTGGCTCCCCTTCTGAGGGCCCCTATTATTAAGCCACTTAGAGGGATCTTGTGGAGCAAAGGTGGTTGCTTTCTATAGGATCAGTTCGCCCCAAGGCCTGACTGCAGTGGGGACAAGGTCTCTGACATGAGTAAAAAACACATTTCTGAATGATGGCAAGAACTTTTCAGGAACACTTTGTATATCCCAGGCATGGGGCTAATTAAGACTTTTATGTACCTTTTTTTCCTTTTAGTCCTCATAGACAACCCACTGGGACGGATATCTCATCCCATTTTATAGGTGAGGAAACCAAGGCTCAAACCACCCAAGGTCATACAGTCTGTAGCTAGTGGAGCCAAACTGGACCCAAGTCTCTCTGGCTGTAAGTCCAGGTCTCACCGGGAGATCAAGACTTCAGGGAGGCAGTCCAACACCTCTCAGCCTCTCCGCTTCCATCCCGGCACTTGGCCTGCAGGCTCACGGTTTGCTAAGTGTGTTCAGCCCTTAAATGCCTTATCTCCCTTGTGAGGCTGGCCCCTCAGCCTGGTCTCCCAACCAAGCCCTCAACCAGGAGCCTCCACAGGGACCCCCATGAGTGACGCTGCTTCCCTGCCAAGCCTACCCGCATTAAGATGTGGGTGCCCACTTTCCTGAAACTTCTCTGGATAGCAGATGATCTGGGTCTCCCATATGCACCAGAAGTAGGGATATCAGAGTGATCTGATCAGAGAATGAAGGCCAAAGAAATCCATTTGGGAACCCGGGTTATCTGATGGTGCATGTAAGCCGAAGAATCGGTCTCCCTTGTCTCTCCTCCTGCTGAATCTTGGTATTTCGCATGAACCGCAGCAGTGTGTAATGAACATGCTTTCAGCAAACACGGGGATGTAACTACAGGATCAGAGAACTTAGAGGGCCTTGGGGCCGCAAAGCAAGCCGCGTCCCCAGCTCTCCCCAAGCTTTATTTGTAGCCCCTCCTCCAGGCATCCTTAGCCTCTCAATAGAACTTCTCACACCGCCTGTTACTTCTCTGTGCCCGGCCCCACCTCATCCTCTGGACTCTCACCTTCTTCAGGGTGCGACCTGGGTCTTGCTTACCTACCCTCTTAACACGTGCACACACACCCATGCCTAACAGAAATGTGTGGCCAATCATCATAAAGAGAGTCACGGTGCTGACCTGGGAAGATGTTTAAATGCCGCGCAGCACCTCCTAATGCGTCTAGGTTTTGGTGGTACCTGGGGGAACCTGAAATACTTGTGTGTGAAGTGAAATGCCCTGTCAGAGTGACTGTGATTCGCACTCCGCCTTGTGAGAGCAGAGAAATTGAAAAATGCCTAACACAGAAACTGGTTTTTTTTAATATGTGAATATGCTTGGTCATTTGTTTATTCTTTCAGCCACTATGTCAAGGATCAATTTTTAAATTTTTAGTTGTGTGGTAAAGATCAACATACACATTATCATGTAGTAAAATTTTAGAAAGTACACTTTTTTCACAATTTTCAGTGATTTCTCGGGATTATTGTCTAACAATATTGTTACTTCCTGAATAAAAGGCTTGGAAGAATTAGAATTGTTCTATAAAAGACTAAGTGACCAAATACTTAAGCAGCATCTCCCATAAATGTAATCTGTAGCTAAGTTGGCTAAGAAGATGTCTATAATGTGACCCTTGGTATTTATCACTTCCTTTCCAAAGCTTAAAATCATATAGACTAGCAAAAAAACAGAAGAGGCAAGTCAGAAACCTTAGTTTTAAAATATGGGAACATGAGATGGTTAGAGAGCATCACTGAGTCAGTGGACATGAATTTGAGCAAACTCTGGGGACAGCGGAGGACCGAGGAGCCTGGCGTTCTGCACGCAGTCCATGGGGTCGCAGCGTCGGACGCAACATAGCAACTAAACACAACATTCACGTGTCAGTAACTCACTTATCCACAGGGCATGAGCCTAGCACCTCAGCTCTCCAGAACCCAGCCTGGAATCTATTAATATCTGCAGGTCTCTTGAAAGCTAGAAAATAAGACTTTTGTTAGACTCACTCGTTTATGAGCAGGAACTCTGCTTCGGGCTTCACTCCATGCCTGCGTATATTTGCTTCATGCACTGTTCTCTCCAGCAAGTTATATTTGGTTTCCAGTCTGCAGCAAATCAACCTGTTGAGAGTGGATGATAGATTGATGGAGGTGGGGAGCTGGCAGCAAAAAGTGACAGCTTACCTCCTGACTCAGAGGGTGAGAGAGGGAAGCGTGTCAGAGAAGGACAAATGGGCTGAAAAACATCGGGGGAAATGAAGCTGTAGGGCAGAGTTACACTCGCCTCCTGTGTCTTCAGGGAGGAGGGCAGCTTCCTGCTTTCCTGGCAGGTTTCCTGGGAGCAGTAATCATGCGTCCCTCACAGAGCTGTTTAGAGGGTTAGCTTAAACCTGCATGATGGTGCCTAGTTTTCACACACATGCCGAGTGGTCTGAATAAGGGATTCAGGCTGTGTACCACACCAGTTGTTTAGGAGAACAGGGGGTCAACAGTGGTCACACCTGGAGGGTGAGGCTGGAGGCAAGGGGAGAGGGTCNTCCTTCCAATGAACACCCAGGACTGATCTCCTTTAGGATGGACTGGTTGGATCTCCTTGCAGTCCAAGAGACTCTCAAGAGTCTTCTCCAACACCACAGTTCAAAAGCATCAATTCTGCAGTGCTCAGAATTCTTTGTGGTCCAACTCTCACATCCATACATGACTACTGGAAAAACCATAGCTTTGTCTAGACGGACCTTTGTTAGTAATGTCTTTGCTTTTTAATATGCTGTCTAGGGGAGAGGGTAGGAGCTCGTATCAAGTAATTTCTACTTGATACATTACTATATTGTTGGAATTGTCTACACGCATGTGTTACCTTAGCGATTTAACACATGCTCATGGGGGGAAAAAGGATGAGTTGTAAGTAATAAGAACATGTTTAAAACCTGCAGGTGAGCCTAACTGTGTACATTTTAAAAATCAATCCATCAAAAAGTACCTTGGAAGTTTGGACATGTAAAGATACACACTCCCGTGAAAGAGTCAGTGCGGCCTCAGCCCCACTGTGGATGCTGCCTGCTGCTGTGCTGAGGGCTTGCAGGCCTCCTGGTTTCTCGGATGCTCACTCCCTGGGCAGCTCTCCATGCCTCCGAGGGCTGCCGCTGCCTCCAGTTCGTCTGCAGGACAGGTGCGGTGCGCTCTGCTCTGCCCATGCTTGCTAGGGGCTGGCGACCCAGAGGGGACTGGAACAGCATCTCAGCCTCAGGAGCCCGTCAGCGGAGGGTGACAGGGGTGGGCCAGCCAGGCTTGAGCTGAAGTGAGGGGCGAGCCTGGGGGTAAAGTTCCTTCTGTGGAGAGATTAGGAAGGAATCCACTGAGCCCAGAAGGAGAAGGTTTTGATAGAAGAGGCTGCAGGCAGAGCAGCTCTTCAGGGCTGAGACAACCACAGCGACAGAGAAGCAGTTTTATTTACCCTGAAAGTCTATTTCTGGGCCATAAAATAACTGCGAACTGGGTTAAAAAGAGCCAGTCCCTGGATGAACTGAGTTTACAGCTCTCAATTTCTGGTCAAGTGCTAGGACTGATCTTTCCTCTCTCCCTCCCATCTTTTTTTTTCTTTTCCTGTTTTTAGGGTCCTGGGGATTTGTTTTAACCAGGTATAGTGGGACATGCCAACGTGGAAATGACTGTCGTGAAGTTAATGCTAGCAGCCCCCTAGAAACAGGAAGCACAGCACTTCCCACATAGGGAAGCACCGTGGTTGGTGAGGAGGCAAAGGACGGAGGGGAGGACGTAGGCCGGAGTCTTTCTTGTGGTTTGCGCTGGAAGGAATAGGCCAGGCAGGATCAGCAGCTTGGGATTGAATCACTGCAGGGGCTCCGGGGCCCAGGGCTGTCCCTAACCGTCTTATACCTGTCCCGGGGGGTGCTGAAGGCAGGGGCACAGTGCCCAGAGCCCAGGAAAGTGGTTGGGGGTATGGGCTCTGAACTTCTTGTGCGTTCAAGGTTCCCAGTCTAGTTACTGACTATCTCTAGGAATTTGCACGTGTTGGGAGGGGCAGGCCCTCCAGGGTCATCAAGGCCCCGGATGTCAAAGCATCAGAGAAGAGAACATAGAAGAGATGGTTAGTCCTCCTTCCTGTTTCCTTCCTTAGCTCTTTCCTCCTCCCTTCCAACTTTAAAACATATCACAAAATACCTCAAACATACAGGAAAAAATATAGCTACTGTATAGCTTACTCCTATAATTCAGATTTGAAAATGTGAATATTTTCCCTCCAGATCTCACTTTCAAAGAACTAAAGCATTTCAAGCGCAGCCCGCCACCTCTTTCACCCTCCCCCGTTCCCACCTCCCCGCCTTCTTCCTCCCACAGAAAAAACAACTGTCTGGAAGTTGGTTGTATTTTTTTCCATCTCTATTTTTATATTTTACTACAGATTTACATGTCCATAAACAATATATAGTATTTTTAAATCTTTATATAAACACCCTACTGTAAATAACATTTTGTTATCTCATTTTGTTATACTCATTTTAGTTTGTCTTTTAATAGGTGATCTTAATTGGTCTATATTTATTGTGATTGCTGCCATATTTCTACCATCTTATTTTGGGTGTTCCTTCTGCCATCCCTTTTTTCCCTCTGCTGATTGTGGTTATATCCTTAACATTTTAGCATACATTCTGAATTGTATTTCTTCTTTCTCCTGAAATGTAAAGCTGCTCGGTATCTTTCTCTTCTACTGAATCAGACAAGAATTGTAACTGTCAAACAAACCCACTAATACCTGCTCTATA